AGATAGCTGTTATTCTTATAAAACAAGGAGATTAGGACAGATACACAGAGGAAAGACCACATGAAGGTGAAGGGAGAAGAAAATGAACTTCCTGCCCCAGGGCAGACCCAGTGACCTGTGTAAGCCGTGTGTGAGGCTCTTCCTGGGGGAGCCCGGAAGGAGGGCTCAGCCTTCCAGTCTCTCGTCAATGGAAGCAAACCATCTAGATTCACTGAGGATTGGAAGGGGAGGAGGCGGGGGGGGGGGGTCTCATCACACATCAAACAGTAAGTAACTTCATCCATAACCTGTTTAGATACTATCTCTTTAGGCCTCCTCATCCTGGGTCTTCCTCTCAACCTCCATCTCAAGCAGACCCTCAGGTGTCCTCGTCATTTACACAGTGTAAGGTAACCTCCAATGGTCAGCCCCTGGGGACTCAGCCTCTCCATTGGTTTGCCAAAGCCTTGATCAACCAAAGTTCATGTCTCCTCAGAGCATATTCTGCTGGTAGGGAAACTAGCCTCCTTTTCTGTATGTTTTAATCTTCTACTGGGCAAATCTGTGCCACCTTTAACTCACCTATCAGACTTTTCTCCCGTAAGAAGTGTGGGAAGAGAAAACAAGACCCAAGACATAGTTTTAGTGTGTGGCTCATGTAAAGGGGTTCCTGCCTTGCTAGGCTGGGCTGATGAGGTGGTCAGACAGGAAGGGCAGCCACTATCCCGGACTCTAATAATGGAAGGAAGGAAGCAGGATCCCAAGAAGAGTCCATGTAGAGGAGAGGGGACGTTGGCGGTGAATCTGAGGAGGGAAGAGCAAGTGTAAAAATGCCGAGGTGGGAGCAAGCCGGCATGCTGGGCGAGAGGGCCAGGGAGGAAACCATTGTGGTATGCAAGGGAGGGGGTGGTAAGAGAGGCAGGGCTGCCTGTGGGGACTTCACTCCAAGTGTCAGAATCTCAGAGGACTGAGGCTCACCTCATTACCTCCAGGCCCTAAACACTCCCTATGCCTCGGAACCACATTGCTCAGTCCTGTCCCCTGAGAGCAACCCCCTCCACCACCTCCACTTCCTCCTCTTGATTTAACATTGCTATCGGGGGGCATCTCTCTATTTCCTGGTGAAATCGAAGTTTTTTATTTGTTCATAACTGCAGGGTCTTCCAGTCTGTCACAGAGGGGTCTTTGGTCTTTCTGGGGACGCGTGCTCCGAAACTTGCCATGTGGAGCCCAGCGTCTCACCACACCATGGTGTGCTTGTCTGAGGGCTAGCAGGCATTCTACCCCAGGGAGACGTCTGTGGCTTTGAGGCCTCCTACAGTCCCTAATCCCAGACCCTTGTTCACTTTCCACTGTTTTGTTGCTTCTCTACCCCCTGGGGTTGGCCAGCTCTGCCTCACTGCTGTGGCTACATAGTCAGCCCACAGATCTCCTTTACAGTCCTTGCCTTGTATACTTGTCTCGGGTCTTAGCTTTGGGAAGCACTTGCTGGACAGTCCACACAACAGAGGGACTTCTGCCTCTGGTAAAACCACAGCAGCATGTGAGCCTAGGGCTAGGGAGTGGGATTCCTCTCTGTGGTGGAGTCTCCTTTCCCCTCCCAAGACAGAATCTGACTTCTCAAAGACTTAGATGTATCCATTGAGGCCGGCTTGCTCACCCATCAACCTCCCACCTGGATTTTAGGAGGGAATTTCTTAGAGAAATTTGCTCCTAACGTCACACACACTCGCACCTGGGGATGACATTCAAAGGCAGCCACACCCAAGCCCCGGTCACTCCATAGCTCCCCTCTGCCGGCATGGTAGATCTAAGGAACTTTGTGATGGTGCCCATTCAGCCTCTTCTCTCTCTCTCTGGCAGTCAGGTTGAGGGTGCCCCCCAGGCTCTCTTCTGAGAGAATGGCTCAATCTGAGCTGAAGCTGTTTCCTCTGCCTTGAAAATCCTGGGTGGGACTTGGGGAATGATGGCACAAGTATGGCTGACTTCTCACAGGAAGCCCTGGTTTCACCCCAAGCCAACCACATATTTTGACAACACATTTTTTTATTTCTAAAATGAAATATAGAATACAGGTAAAGCATATAGAGTAATGTAGATTATACTGGGAATATCATGAGGAGAGAGAACAGACTTAACCTCCACCCCCAAAAGGGTTTACTTGGAGCAAACAACAAAACTCTATTGATCATTTTGGTTTTCCCCACCTCTAGCCAATGAGTTCCCTCTTTAGCCATCATCTGCTTGCTGTCCCCACCCTTAACTCCCCAATCCTTTCTCTGAACCCTTTTCACATGTGAATTCTGCAGTTGTTAAAGCCAAATTGATGGGTAGTGCTGCTCAAATCTTCTGTATTCTTGTTAGAGTTATTCTCAAGTCGTCTTTTGCTCCCTCTACCCACACTGTCTCTGTTTCCTCTGAGCTCCTTTCCCATTTGTTTGTTTGGTTGGTTGGGTTTTGGTGTCCATCCTTCATATTAGTTTTCCTCAAATGTCTAATGATCCTTGGTTGTCCATTTATAGTTAAGAATGACACACTTAGGGGCACCCGACTGGCTGGCTCAGTCAGTGGAGTGTGGGACTCTAGGTCTGAAGATCGTGAATTCGAGCCCCATGTTGGGTGTGGAGATTACATAAATAAATAAATAAATAAATAAATAAATAAATAAAATAGAAATTAAATCTTTAAAAAAAAAGAGTAAGGCACTAAAATGCTGATGAAAGTTCTGTGTATCTACACAAGATTTGTTGATTTATAGGCTTTACAAAAAGTGACTGGGTAGGACTCAAATGGAGGTATTCATCAATTTGTGTATTTCTAAGTCTTTTCGTTTTTTTTTTATTTTTTTATTTTTTTAAAATATTTTATTTATTTATTTGTCAGAGACAGAGGGAGAGAGAGTGAGCAAGCACAGGCAGACAGAGAGGCAGGCAGAGGCAGAGGGAGAAGCAGGCTCCCCGCGGAGCAAGGAGCCCGATGTGGGACTCGATCCCAGGACGCTGGGATCATGACCTGAGCCGAAGGCAGCCGCTTAACCAACTGAGCCACCCAGGCGTCCCTCTAAGTCTTTTCTACTGAAAGTTCTATTTCTCTGGGAGTCAAGAGAAGGAAGGCGGTTATCGGTCTTACTGTTCAGTATGCACTTAACCCCCTTGACTTCAGCAAGGAGCTATCTACTTACCCTCCTTTGAATTCAATAAAAATTTCCCATTTGGTTTCTCTGGAGAATAAACCCCGGGGCAAAGGGAAGCTGCCTAGTTCTTCTAGGGGAAAGTAGGAAACTGGGTATCTGATTACTCTATGTTAAGGTTTTGGACAAATCCTGATATATCCAGGCCTATCTGTCACTGGGCGATGGCGAACTGGGGCTTCTAGTTCCTGAGTCTTTTCCAGGGTGTTATGTTACAAATGAGTTGCTTTTTCAATTACCATCCTCTGACTTAACAGAGTTAGATTCAGCTTTCCTCACTTTTTCATGTTCTTCACCTTCTTCATCTTTTTTTTTTTTTAATTTGGATGTCTAGAAAAAATTAATTCATCAATGGATGATGGAGATGGGGAAGAAAAGGGAGCTTTGGAGGGCTCACAAAGGAATGGGCACTTTGACCAGGTCTTGAAAGGTCAGTCGGGTTGGATTGTTTTGTTTTGTTTGAGCAAGAGTCAGTTGGATTTTGACTATTGTGAGATTGGCCTGAATATAAGAATGTAGGGAAGAAAATTCTAGATCAAAGAAAGCACATGAGCAAATGAGGAGCAAAGTGATTTAGCTTAAATGGTTTCTTTAAGGAAATCACCACTTCACTATCAGCTTTCTACAGGCAAACACTTGGCCCACTTTTGTCTTGTCTCCTATACTTCTGTCTTTTTTCGTTTTGATCTTTTAAAATACTGTCAACTTAATGGGACTTAGAGGTAGAGTGGTTATAAATGCCTTTGTTTAACCCAAGATTTTTCAACCTTGATACTGTTGACATTTGGGGGTCTGATAACTCTTTGTTGGAAGGAGGGAAGGAGCTGCCCAGTGCATTCTAAGAGGTTGGACAGCATCCCTGGTTTCTTCCCATTAGATGCCAACAGCTCCCAGTCCCCCACTGTGACAACCAAAAGTGTCTCCAGACATTGACAAACATCCCTTGCTGGGGGAGTGGCTTGTAGGGAGTGGAGGTTGTCCAGTTGAGAACCACTGGTTTAATCTATCACTTTTTATTAGATGTCTAGAAAAATATATGCATCAGTGGGTGTTGGGGGAGGGAAGAAATGGGGGTTTTGGAAGGTGACACAGGAATCGGCATTTTGACTCAGTCTTAAAAAACGACTTGAATTTTGAAGGTAGAAGATGGACTAGAGTGTTAGAATTGTAGGAAAGGGAATTCTGGGCAAAAGAAACCACATGAACAAATGGGAGCAAAATGATTGATGTTAAATGGTCTTCTGTAACCTCAGTGTAGGGTACCCATAGCAAGGGAAGAGTCTGCAGAGATAGGAGGCAGATTACGGAGGCCTTGACTGCAAAGATGTGGAACATGGACCTTTCTTGCTGTGATGTAATCACATCTTTGATTTTGAACAATGACTCTAGAAAGTGAGACCTGAGTGCTGGGAGATCGGTGAGGTGTCCACTGCGGGTGTCAGGGGGGAGGACACCTGACTGGGACACTGGGAATTGCAGAAAGAATCTTCCAGTGTCTTCATTTCAGTGCTAGTGAAAGGCACTGAAGGGAGGGGGTCAGAGGTTGAGCAGAAGGGTTAATGAAGCCCTCTGACATATATTTTTGCATATTAAAAGAAAAACCTGTCTCCATTCGAGGAAAGTACCTTACCAGTGGGAATTTCAGGAGGCTGATACCCCTCCAACCACACCCATGAGACAACTTCAGTGGGGTATTGGCAGCCCGGAGTCCAATTATAGCGATTGACGATAACAAATAGCACTGATGCTTGAGGTTAAAAAGGGAACTAATGCTTCCTAATGAAGACCGTTTAAATTTGCATTTGAAGGCAAGGTGGTCCACAGAAGAGCTGAAATGCTTTCAGAGGGAACGTCACTGCTGCCACCCTTGACACCTCAGCTCCTAATCTTAGTAAGAGAACCGGAACTACCCTTTTATCTCAGGTCTGCTTGGAAGATCAAGCCAATTTGGCTCTTTGACAGCTACTGCCTTGTTTTGGTGGTTGTTTCCGAATTACTTTGTTTTACAGGTATCAAACTCATGAAGAGCAAAGAAGAGAGGAGAGAGACATTACTCAAAGATTTGGGAATTTGGGAGTTAAAGAGACAACATTTATAGATAGAGCCTCCCTAGAGGTAAGCTTACAAACAACTTTTCCCCCTCCCCACTTTCAATTTTTACCTTACTACCCCATCCTCCTCATTAGTGAACTGTTGGGGGAAGTTCTGGTGAAAAGTGAATACTTCCTGATTTGAGTAAAAGAAGAAAAAAAGTACAGAAAGGAGATATGGTTTCGAGAGCAAAGGGGAATTGACTAAATGTGAAATCTTCGGTGACTGTATGAAGTTGGGAGACTCCATGTTGAGCTTCGAGTGGCTGAAGGTTCTGGGAGGCCTGGTAGGGAGACATTCCCACGTGCTGATGGAGTGAGTCGGCCTTGATGGGAGGGTCTCCATGTGACACCTTCCACTGAGATCTCATTTTCTGGCCTGGCTTCCCACAAAGGCATGTTACACAATTGACTGCCACAAGCTTAGGAACCTGTTCCATCGGTAGAGAGAATGACAGGGACGTTTGAAGATTCTGGAAGCGTAAATAATGCTGGCAGTGACTTGCTGCTCGAGAGGCTAAAACAGTAGCTAGGGGAGAATATGTGGTCGTTGAATTTCATCTCACCTCCTCTGAATGAAACGGGACGAGAGCCAGACATAGTTTAACACATGATTCTCGATCCAAATACCCAAGGGGATTGAAAAAAAGAAAAACGAATTTTCTACAGTTTTTTAGTCTTAGTCCTCAGAGTTCATCTTTTCTTTCAACACACTTTTTATTTGGGCACACTAGGCCCAAATGCAATGGTGCACTGCCCGTCTGCTTGCAGGTGGGTGGGGATACAAGAGTGTGCGTCTCAGTATTGCCCAATGCAAGTCCATGGTCACCATGATAAGGGATTATGCCCATTGCCATATCTGTGTGCAATAATAGTTTGCTGATCAGGTAGGGCTCTGTTTTCTGAAAGCTATTAATAAGTAAGTGACCTAGATACAGATTTGACTTGGGAAGAAAAGAACAAATATTGGTAAGCTATGTTACAATCAACAAATGCTATTTTAATGCTCTTCCCATTGCCCAGAAGGAGAGCAGTCATTGGCTAAATAAAAGTCATGGAGTAAAAACCTAAATTTCTACATGGACTCAATCTGTGATTTGCTCATCATTACTAGGCTTTAGCTTGGATTGAGGAACATGCCGTTGGTAGATACATTGAGAACAGTGGTATCGCTGGGTGGTCAATTTCTTCTTGTTCTTTTTCTTTTTTAATTGATTTTTTTAGGCTTTTTAAAAAATATTTTATTTATTTTATTTATTTATTTGACAGACAGAGATCACAAGTAAGCAGAGAGGCAGGCAGAAGAGAGACGGAAGCAGGCTCCCTGCTGAGCAGAGAGCCCGATGCAGGGCTCGATCCCAGAACCCTGGGATCATGACCTGAGCTGAAAGCAGAGGCTATAACCCACTGAGCCATCCAGGCGCCCTCAGGCGTATTTATTTATCTATTTATTTTTAGTAATCTCTACACCCAGCATGGGGCTTGAACTCATGACCCCAAGATCAAGGGTTGCATGCTCTTTGTTTTGTTCTTTTAAAATTCTCTACATGTCAATTAGTCACTAAAATAAGTAAATCTTTTGAACTGTTTTCTTGTTCCTATGATATAATGGGGTGCCTGAAGAGGACTAGACCCTCATCTTGCAACATGGAAAACTGTCATTTGGGGGATTAAAAGCACTTTACCCCTGTTGGAAGGAGCCTGCAATCTGTTTTTGGTACAGATCAGTCTGGAGGATGCTATTTTGTGGTCCTGTTTGGCAGGCCCAGATACCAACAATAATGATATCTAGCACTTATGTAGAACTCACCATGTACCAGGCACCCTTCTAAGTGCCTTACGTACGTTAATACTTTAAATCCTTAAATGGCCCTGTGTTGTGATATCTGCATTGCCCAGATGAGGCAACTGAGGCACAAGGATATTAAAGACATTGACTGGTAGTACACAGTAGAGCCGAAGTTCAAGCCAGACTGATGCCAAATTCTACACTCCTAATATCATGCCTCCTCTTAAGATAACCATTTTGGGGCAGACAAGGGTGTTGCCAATCAAAGGGACATGCACCAACCAGGACTAGCTTGTGGAATATGGACTCCCAGGGATTCCCAGAAATAAGCAGGCAAGACTGAAGCATGGCGAAGAGAATCTGAGCTCCACGTTTAAGTAAGATGGTGATTCAGACTACCATAGGAGCATTAAAGACTGGCGAAGTTGAGGATATCTGAGTTACCTATGCTTTTGTAGTCTAAATCTGAACTATACTACTTATTTCTAAGCTGTGATCACAGGAGATGATCGATGTAGGAAAAGAATACAACTTACTACATATCTGCTTATTCAATCAATATTTATTGAGTGTCTACTGTCCTATCTGCACCAGATAGCCACATGAGACAGAAGACCCTAGAACACTCCTCTGAAGGGACAAACATCCTGAGCTGCAAGTCTGGAGGCTCTGGTTTCCCAAGGTCTTGTTGGCGAGTGCCAGTGGCTCAAGGATGGCCTTGATTTCTCTACCCTCTCTGCTAGGACTTTTGTCCAGAACATTCTCAGGGGTTCTAGACAGGGCCACCCAAAAGTGAATGGTGGTCCCTGGCAGAACCGGGAGAAGCTGAGAGAACCCACAAAGCTGAGGGGCTCTTGCCCATGGAGTGCAAGTAAGAGGGAGAAACTCAGGAAACACTTAACAAAAAACCTTTCCTCCCCTAGTACTTTACCTCTGTAGATCTGGGAATAGCACCTGACCTAATAAGGAGCTGTTTCCTCTTCATTTATTCCACACAGTGCCAATATTCCTATGTTTTACTACAGAAATATTAATGTGTTAGATTGTGTGGAGTCAGCCCGGTCCCTCCAGGGGTGAAAAGGTATGATCTGTGCACTAGATGACTCTGCCAGATGCCTTTTGTTTGCCTAGGCCAACGGTCTGCCCTTCATCGCCTTCCTCTGGTCCTGGGAGACCAGCCGTGTGGATCCTTCCGTGGGCACCTCTTGCTCTCCAGCTTCTGCTTGGAATCAGCCAACAGGAAGCAACCTTTGAGGTCAGAGACAGTGGGAGAGAGAGGTGGGGGTATTTATGCCCCTGGCTGCCCTGCCACCGGGCCATGGGGAGGCAGCGGCTCAGTTCCTCTAGGAAAGGCCACAACTTTTTGTGAGATAGCCTCTCCTGGAGCCGCATCACCGTCCTATCTGGATTCCAGTAAGCACCCCCTCCCCTATCCCCTCCAGCCTATGAATTACCAATGTGATGCAATCCTTAAAATATAAGATACAATTATAGGACAGAAGGCATTATCTAAAAACTGTTTAGGTGGTCGAGAATGGTGGAATACGAGCAATTGTGGCTTGGAGTGTGGAGACGGTCATTTATTGTGTTCAGAAGAAAAAGATAAGAAAAGAAGGGAGATCCAACTAAGTTCAGAGAATGATCATTTATTGAGCATCTATGATGAGCCCAGTTCACCCACAGGTATCATCTTGCTCATTTCACCCAACAGCCCTGCAAACGCTGTTATTTATTCCTATTAGAGGATAGGGACTTGGCTGTGCTCATACAGCTAGGAACCATTGCTAGTTAAGTGGTGGAGCCTGAACTTGACTGTGCACCTCAGGACAGGACAATAATTGGAGCTTCTGCCCTAGGCAAAGGAGGCTGGGGTATCACAGACAATGATGGAGTCCAGGTACTGGATCCTTCCCTACTTTGGCATAGAGTGAGCCAGCGGAAAGGAGCCCGAGGCACCAGGACTAGGGGAGAAATCACCGCTCCGAAGGGTGAAAACATGCAGAAAGAGAGCAAGTTCTGAAAACTAACCTCAAGTACATCTGAGAAGACTTTTCTGCTTACTTTCAACCCTACCAGACAAATAAGAGAGAAGGTCTTTATTTTGGTCCTTTGTTTAATGGAAACCATGAACGTGAGGAACACCAGCCCTCCTGATACCTCAGAACGTCGTGCAATTTATTTTATAGAAGCTTCGTACTGAGAGGCTCTTAAATGGGACACCATTACCCTTTAGAATCAACAGTCGAAGAATGGTCTTATGTTTCCAAGAAGGAATTAGCAAGTATTTCTTCCATAAAGAACTCATACTGTTCTTCAGACGGTACCACCTAGAATTGTAAGTGTGTGGTAGATCAGAGCCCGGCTTTATAATTAGACGGAACTGGATTCAAATTCTAGCTCAGCTAGAAAGTAAGTGAGGGAATAGGTTGGCTATGTACAAGACAGATACAATAATAAGGGTTTCCACAAGAAAGAGGTCTTTTCTTCCTCATTTAATAGCCTGAGGTGGGTAGCCTAGGAATGGCATAGCGGGAGGGTACGCTAGGAACCACTAGCGTAGGGAACCACTCCTCCAATTTGGCTGTTCCACCATCCACACAATGATGTCTTCAACTGAAAGGCACAAGATGTCTCTTGGCTTCCTCACCCGTCTCAAGCAGCAGCATGGTAGAAGAGGGGATGGGTGAGGAAGCTCCTCCCCTTTAAAGGCAAGTTCAGGAAGTTCCCCATACTGTTCCATTTCCCTTCATGCCCCATTAGCCAGATCTTAATCTCAGGTCTGTACCCAGCCTCAAGGGAGGCTGGGAAATGAAGTCTTTATTCTAAAAGGCAATATGCCCCGAAAATCAGAGGTCCTGGCCCCTCTAGGGCCAGCTGTGTGACTTCAGGCTAGTTAATGAACTTCTGTGTCTCAGTTTCTGCATCTGTAAAATGGGAATCATAAAAGTCTGCTTTGTAGAGTGGAAGTGATGATTAAAGAGGAATGTGCTTCAGCACTCAATGAAGATAGCTATAATTATGATTGGTTTGCTGAGGCTGGGAGCACTTTGGGTCCCACCCTTGCCAGGATCCAGATTTTCCAACTCCTTTTTCAATGTAAGCTCATGTATATATCCTTTAAAAACCTTTCTGGTTACGGTTTAGTGACCAAAAAAGTTACGTGCCAACAATGAAAAGCAAAAAGTACGTTCCACATTATTCCTAGGAGGAAAGGAGTTAGCAGTGGCTCTGATTTCTTTCCCCATTCACTAGCCTGTGGAACAAGGATCGGGGGTGGGAGATGGGGGAGAGGAGCCGAGTGTGGCCCCATCTTCCGCTGCCCAGTCATGCCCAAAGCTTACCTTTCATCTCCAAAACTCAGCAAGCCAGTTTCAAGCCGAGGTATGCCAACTCCCCTCTCAGAGCTCTTGCTTCCATTCTCCACAGCCTGGCCCCCGTCCAGCCCACATTTAGCTGGAAGTTAGAAATGAATTATGATTAGAAAATAATTTTCACCATTGCTCAGTTTGCCTCTTTCTGGCTTTGTTTCTCGAGGCTGGGTGAGAACACAGGTGCTGCATTAGACAGGAGGGAGAAAGTTCTTCTTTCCTGAAGTATGGCTTAGAACCTCGTTGGGGAATGCGTTTGCTCTAGGATGTGACTGACCCATTTTAAAAGGACCCTATAAAATATCTGGAGTTAAGAGAAGCTACCTGAGCATCTCTGAGGGGTAATTAGTGGTGTGGCTTATAAAATACCGGCCCTCCATACCTGTGGCCTGAAAGGCACTCTTGTTTTCAGGTGACCACAGTCACCTGTGGTCAATCACTTGTTGCAGCCTCCTGCGTGCCCAGCTTTCCCACAGCCCCCGAGGCTCCCACCTTCCTGCCGCAGCATCCTTGGTCTATTTTTGTAGTTGAGCTACCTGAGCCCGCCCTTAGCACAGTTTGACCTCAGAGTTCTGTTGGCAATTCTTACCAACTTTCAGGACATGGTTTCCTTGCCCCATTCCTCCTCATGGAAAGAATTATCTCCTTAACTTCATCACTACATCTGGCAGCAAAGACTGAGAGCCCGGGGCAGTTAAAAACATGCATATATTTTTTAGATCCACAGGGGTTCCAAGTTCTTCTTCTTGGCTGTAAATCATCAGAGAATGTCCCAGCTGGAAGGGTTCCATTCTTAACACACAAAGATGCTAATGAAAGATGCTATAAGTCAATAGCTTTTCTTACTTCCCTCTCTCTTTCCTCTCTTGCTCTCCCTTCCCTCTTTCCTCCCTCCCTCCATAGCCCTCCCTCCCTCTTTCCCTCCCTCCCTCCTTCCCTTCCACCCTTCCTTCCTTTCCCACTTTTGCTTTGCTTTCCTTCTTTCTTTGGGCATACATCAATCACTGTGATTGCAATAAACAGCCCAAGGTTTTGGGGTTTTCGTGAACTAAGGTTTACCAATTCTAGCTAATCACTATTTTGTTCTCACTACAGTAAACTTACTTGTTGCCCTCTGCACAAAAGGGAACCAAAATGAATTCAACTCCACACTCTGGTTATCCACAACGAGGACCTATCCCTCGACGTGCATCACTTACAGCAAAAACTTTGGTTTTCCAAATTGATTCAATGTCTCTCGATTCCACCTGGATAATAGACGTTGCAATGTCAAACCAAGTCAGCTTCGGTTTCTGCGAGGAGTAAGGGCCATGTGCAGAATTGAAACCATTCCTTTTCAATGTCATTTATTTTCTGGCAACAGTTTTGGGAATCTCCACTGGTGATACGAGGAAAGTCAGCACAAGGCAGCAAAGATTTCCTCCTCTGAATCTTTTAATCTTTTTATGTTGATTCTTTGCCAACAAAACCTAAGGAAATAACTTGGCTTACATATAATTGCCATGCATTACCATAACCTGTTGCTAGGTGTGGTTTCCAAACAGTTTTTATTTCCTATGTACGTTCTTTGATAATAAAACAACATGACCCTTCTAGTAATTAGTAATGCTTTTCAATAATCACTCATGGAAGGAATTGGCATAACCCTACAAGTCTAGTTATGTTTCAAGTAAGAATTTGTTCATATATATTTATTTATTTATTTAATAATGGAAGGTGTTATAGACATGGATCGATATTATACTTCCCAACACAGAAACTAATAGAAGCTCAACTGGAAAGCTTCTGATTCTGCTGTTAGACTCAAAAGCAAAAGCCTAGAAAAGAGCAGTCTGTATTTTTGAAAGTTTGCTTATTAAAGAAAAATGTCTTATTTCTTCAAAGGAACATTAAGCAGAATGTAAAAGATTATGGGTCACGTGAAAGGACTGTGAAATGGCTCTTCTAAATTCACAGAAATTGGCTGCAACTATTTTCTTTCTTATTCTAGGAAAAAAGAAGAGCTTTTTCTATGATGTGTTAAAATAGCTCAGAAGGCTTTATTCAAAGAATGGGGAGAAACATTGCGTTTTCGGTGATTTTAATATTGAAAAGTTTGCAGGAAATGCTCATAATTTAAACTGAAGTGAAAGAAAGTAAAATACAAAATAGGCTTTTTTGTAAAAACTGGAAACATTTATATTAAAAAATTGAAGAAACACACACTAAATGTTAGTATTTGTTTTCTCTGGATGTTGAGACCCTTTGTTGGTAAAGTTTACCTTCTTTATCCTTTTGTGCCACTTTCCATTTCCACAGTGATTAGATTATATTTCTTAAGGGAAATTATGATTTTAAGAAAACAGATTAAAATAATGGACGGCCTTCTCTCCTAACAGAAATAAAATTGGGAAAAAAATTAGAAAAACGTGTTGCTTTGGGAAAGTGAAACTTTGAATGTATATTTTTTTCTTCTTTATTCTAAGAGTTAGCAAACTTTTCTGTAAAGGGCCAGATAGTAAATATTTTATGCATTGTGGGCCATATCCACCCTGCCATTATTGTACAAAAGTAGATGTACACAACACATAAACGAATGAGCACAGTCGGGTTCCAATACAACTTCGAATATTGACACTGAAATTCAAATTTCATGTATTATAAACCATCATTCTTCTTCTGATTTTTTCTCTATCATTGAAAAATGTAAAAACCTTTCGTAGCTTGTGGGTCATATAGAAACACCTTCAGTCTATCCTTTGCCAACCGTTGGTCTATTTCATTATTTTATATTTTCCCCCAAATGTAAAATAGATACCTTAATTTTTCCCCGGTTTTCTTAACTTTAAGAATTTTAAGAATATAAAAAAAAATTTAAAAATAAATGCATATACTCAGGTCACTCATATGATAAGAGTTTACTCCCGTGGGTGGGAGCCAAGGCCAGCTCTGCCTGTCCACGTGAAATCCGAGGTCTTCGCGGGAGGTCTGCGCAGTCAAGGTCAGCAGGAGGTTAGAATCTAAGTCACAGCTGGTGTGGCTTTACCGTTGCTGATGAAAGGGAAACAGGTCTTACCCAACAAACCTGGCCACGTCAGAGCCATCAGAAGCCACTCTGCTCAAGGTATCTAGCAACGGTTTCTGTGACATTTCTTGAAGCTTCCTCAGGACCTCATTGTGGAGGAAGCAATAATTCCCCTGTGGTCACCACGAGGGCTGAACCGGGGGCACTTTCCCCACTCGCATGAGTCAGAAGTAACCCCACAAGGGTACCTCACTGGTTCAAAGAGGATGTTGTTTACAGGAGAGGGGATAGATGAAGCCAGAGGCCTGAGCGCGGTTCAACGTCAGTAATTCTGTGGGTCCTTCTAAGTGACTGTTGTAGGCTGTGGTGATTTGGGGGTGGGACGGAATAGAGCTAGACCCCCCGCTTGTTTGTTTTTCAAGTGTTAACAGACTGTTTTGCTGAAGGCTTGCTTATTCCTGGAGTCTTTTGTTATTGTTGCTTTTGTTGTACTTTAAAAAACAAAAGACTTTTTTTTTTTCTTTTCCTCCTTTAACTGTTTCATTACCTAAATCGGGAGAAAACAGACCAATCTTGGCAAGATCACGGATAACTGAGGTAAGAGGGACAGTGGGTATCTTGGGGAAGGGCTCCATCGTGAGAGACTGTAAAGGCTGTGAAGCCGGCCCAGAGGATGTCTCAGGGAAGGCAAGGCTTATAAATCAAATCATCAATCAATATGTCTATCACAAAGCCCTCATTAAATACTTATTGAGCTCTGGATCTCTACGGCCCCTGGTACATTCTAGCGGCTCTCCACATTTCTGATCAGACAGTCACAGTATGCTTCCAGGGCTGATGGGAGGTCAGTGGAAAAGTACAGGGAACTTTCTTTTTTTTTAAAATGTTATTTTACAACATATTGAAGACTCCAAATTTTGCTTATCCGAAGGGGGCTCTATCAGGGGACGTTATAGAACTAATTAATATCCCTTATTTGTGTAACGAATTGTTTCTTACTAGTCTGAGTTAAAAGAACAGAAGCCTGTCTCTAGGTTTCCTATTTTACTTGGTAAAGAAAGGCTCCCCACCATACGAAGGCACACCTTTTAAGGATTTGAACAGGAGGATGAGACTGCTTCATGCGCTGTGGGAGGAGTCCCGACTTTGGAATTCCAGAGGTCCTACAAGTGATTTGTGTTAGAGCTTCTCTGTGGCTGGTCTCCAGAGGATCACCCTGTGCCAGATGGCCATGAGGTTAGCCCCTGGGCAGGAGACCTGGGTTGGAGTGTGATCCCCAGGGGCGGAAGAGCTGAAAGCATCATAAATGTCCTCCCAGTTTGACAGAGATGCTCTTTTATTCTGTGTTAAACCAGCAAGAGCTGTAGGTAATCACTGGAGGGAAAGCAGTGGATTTAGGGGATCTAGCCCCTCCAGGTTGTGGGCGTGGGTGGGGTGGGCCGGTGGCCAGGCACCAGGATGTTAAGAATGCTTCAGATTTTGTCCTCTTGCACGCTGAGCATTGTCTCTTGCTGGCTGACAGAGGACAGCACTTCTTAGGGATAAGGGACATTTCCACCTGGAGCTACGTCGTTTTTGTCGACATCAGAACACCTTGTAAGTGCATGTCCCTGGAGTCACAAATTGGAAAATTTGACTTGTTTGGCAGAAATTGATTGTACAGTTTTTTTCAGGGTTACTTTATTTCCGTATAATGTAAATTTCACTGTATTTTCCAAGGTATTTCCAGCTTCACATGACGCCTAGCATGTAGTGTGTGCTTAATAAATATTTGCTCAAACAAGAATAAGGTTCTTATAAAATTAACTGTACTCTTACCCGGTGATCCAGCAGTCACATTCCTTGGTATTTACCCAAAGGAGTTGAAAACATATGTCCCTACAAAAACCTGCACATGAATATTTATAGACGCATTATTCGCGATTCGCCAAACTTGGAAGCAACCAAGATGTCCTTTGGTAGGTGAGTGGATAAATGAACTGTGATATATTCAGAAAGGGAATATTATTCAGCGCTGAAAAGAAATGAGCTATCAAGCCATGAAAAGACAAAGAGGAACTCTAAATGCATATTCCTCTGTGAGAGAAGCCAATCTGAAAAGGCGACATGCTGTATGATTTTACATATATGACACTCTGGGAAAGGGAAAACTGTAAGAGTAGGAAGGTCCATGGTTGCCAGGGGTGGGCGGGAAGGGATGAATGGCTGGAACACGGGGGATCTTTAGGGCAGTGAAAATACTCTGTGTGATACCGTAATGACGGTTACATGGTGTTCTACAGTTGTCCAAACCCAGAGAATGACAACGCCGGGAACGAATCCTAAGGCCAACGATGAACGTGGAGTGTTGACGGACAATGTGTCAGGGGTAGGCTCGTCAGCTGTAACAGCGTGGGGGCTCTGTTGGTGGGGGCTGTTGATAACAGGGAGATGAACCTTGTGTGGAGGCAGGGGCTGTATGGGACATCGCTTCCCCTCGATTTTGCTGTGAACCCTAAACAGTTTTCAACAGAGGTCTTAATTTAAAAAAAAAGAAGTTAGCAAGTACATGAATCCATAAGTGAGACTATGGCAAAACCATAACTTACCCATGGGATTGCTGGAAGCATTATCAATGAAATGACAGTTTTCCAACGGTCCCTGTTAGTAGGGCGTGACTCAGAAATCTGCAGAGAATTTTTCCTGAAGATCAGATATTCTGTCATAGGAATCGGTCACTTCTTTCAGTCCCCCAAAACAAGCTTGCTGAAGCTTTAGGCAAAGAAGAGCTCCAGAAACAGCCCACAGCTCTTACCTACCATTTCCTATTTGTCATTGTCGCAGCCCGCCCGGCCCTAATTGCTCCATCCTGTCTGACCAGAGCTCCCGCTCTAGACGGCCTGCCTTCTTCAGTGACCGTCCACGTTTACACTAGAGTAGCAAGCACTTCCTGGCTGGCTCCTTGCAGACAAGGAGCCTCTGTTCGCCTTGGGACCGGGGAGGAAACAGCCTCTGACTGTCCCCGTGGCTAAGCGACTGGCCCCAGCCCCAGGAGAGCAGACTTTGACACCCATATTTCTGAGCACTGGATGGGGAAGCAAACCAATCAGTTAGGATATTGCCAGGCTTTTAAAAAAACGGCACTTAGCAATAGTGTTTACAGGCTCATGTTTAAGAAAACAAAAATGCATGTCTTCCAAGAATTCCTTTTAAGTGGTTTGCGAAGGTGTGTCCTTCCTAAGTAAAGAGCTTTTCACAGGAGCTGGTGCTGAATAATGGCAGAGTCTTGTTATGGCCCTAATTGACTTGGGAGGTTGTGTTTATGTCCTGCTTGAAGCCTTCAAAAATACTGTAGGTACATTTGAGATTATACTAGTTTACTTGGCTCCTATTTAAAAAAAAAAAAAAAAGATAAGAAAAGAAAAGAAAGAAAAAGATGAAGAGTATTCTTGCCTGACTTAGAGGTTAGTAAATGGAGTGTGGCAGGTTTGTGGTCGCTGGTTTGCGGGGCTTCAACTGATTCAAATCCTGCTTTGAATCAGGGTCAAACTGGGGCCTTTTGTTAGGGGCGATCCTGAGGGGACCGCGGGCTAGGGAGGTGGAGGGGTGACAAGTGTTCTAGGGCCCTAGGTTGCTATTGTCTCACACACAAGCTCCAGTCACCAGACTGTTTTCTTCCGTGGAGGGGAAGCCAAGTCAAGAGGGAGGACGGAGGGGGGTGGGGGGAGCCCGGGAAGGGCTGGTGCAGCCATTTAGGCCTGACCGTCCCTCCCTGCTCCCAACTCCCACCCCACTCACCCAGAACCTTCCTGCTGACCCGGAGAGGGCCGAGAAGGGACGCGCTTTGGGGCAGGAACAGGAACCGGCAGTGGCCCGCGGGAGCCCAGGCCATTTTCTAGGCGAGTCGCTAATGAGAACTGACTGGGGCTCGGAGGAGAATGCAGGCCGGCCTGGGTTCCGCCCTCCATGCTAATGAAGAAGGCAGCGAGGTGGATAATTAAGGGCAGTGATGTGAATAATTCCACACCGATAATCCAAAGGTAATGAAATGCATTATGAGTTTTGGGGACAGCAGATTTGCTTTACCAGCCAAGGCTGCTTTATGATAAAATGAGCTCTGCCTTTTC